GTACTGGTCAGGCCGCTTGACGAGGAGGCGCGTGGTATGACCTGGTTTTGCCTGGAAGCCAAAGCGGGGTAGGCAATTCACGCTCTGATCTTCAGCACTCCGACCGTACCTCTGCCGGCACTCCGCCGGCGCAAACCGCCCCCGAAGTCAGCCTCCGCCAGCCGCCCACCGGCCGCCCGCCGGCCTCCGCCGAGCCGAAGCGCCGAGGCCCCGCCGGGAACGCGCCGAGGCGCTTCGCCCGAGGCGGTGCCCGCGGCCTCCTCCCCCTCCTCCTCCTCCTCCTCCTCCTCCTCCTCCTCCCTCCTCCTCCACTTCTCCTCCTCCTCCTCCTCCTCCTCCTCCTCCTCCTCCTCCTCCTCCTCCTCCTCCTCCTCCTCCTCCTCCTCCTCCCCTCGGGCGAGGAGGAGAAGGGGGGAGCACCACGCAGGGAGCCCACGCCGCCTCCAGGGACCGGGCCCCAGACTGCCCCAGGGCGCACAAGACACGCCCAAGAGCGCCCAAGAACGTCGAGACGACGGCGGCGACGGCGACGACGAGGGCGAGCGCCGGCGCCGGCGCCGGCGCCGCGGGGCAGCGACGACCACGACGGCGACGACGACACGACGCCATTGGATCCCCCCAGAACGCCCCAGGGCTCCAAGACACGCCCAAGAACGCCCCAAGCTCTATCGATCCTCGATCACCCCTCCCCGTCGACCCCCTTCACCCCTCCTCGATCATCGATCATCGATCCCCCTGCTCGATCACCCCTCCTCGATCATCGCCGCCGTGTCCTCGATCCTCGGTCACCCCTCCTCGATCAGCGATCCTCGATCACCCCTCCGACTTCCTGGAGGAGGTGGTGCACCCCCTTCGGGTGAATCCCCCTCGGCACTGCCCGATCAACTAGAGACCTCGTCAATGGGGGTCGGAGGATTGCGCCGCATCGCGGATGCATCGGGGATGCATCGGGGATGCATCTGCGTCGTCGCCGCGGGGAGCTCGGGCTCCACCTCGAGCCGCATCGCCGAGAGGCACGGCCCTGCAAGCCCATCTGCTCGGACTACGTGTGAGAGGCATGGATCATCCTCATCCTGATGCTTATCCTCATGACCACCACCATCCCCACCATCCCCACCATCCCCATCATCAGCATCATCAGCATCAGCATCAGCATCAGCATCAGCATCAACATCAGCATCAGCATCAGCATCAGCATCAGCATCAGCATCAGCATCAGCATCAGCATCAGTTTCATCATCATCATCATCATCATCATCATCATCATCATCATCATCATCATCATCATCATCATCATCATCATCAACATCATCATCATCATCATCATCATCATCATCATCATCATCATCATCAGCATCATCACCATCATCGTCATCACCATCATCATCATCATCACCATCCTCCTCCTCCTCCTCCTCCTCCTCCTCCTCCTCCTCGGCATCAGCATCACCACCCGCACCATTATCACCCGCCCTCGCCGGCACAGGGCCCCCCCCCGCTGGGCGGGCACGGCGGCCTGAGGCCCGCGGCTCGCGGCCGGCGGCTCCGCGCCGCCTGGCACCCTGCGCGGGGCGGCGGCCGCAGGCCCGGCGTGGGGGCGGGCGCAGGCGGCGGGGGGCCTCCCGAGCGAGGGAGGCGGGCCTCTGGGGGAGGGGGCAAGCAGACTCTTCCCTTGCCATCGTGCCGTGTTCCCCGCCCCCCGAGAGAGGTCGAGGCCCACTTCAGCAGCCGGAGCTCGACGATCGCTTCACGATGGCGGCGCTGCTGCGCCGATCGGCCTTCTGTGGGCCACGTTCAGGCTCCGGAACCGACTCGACGGAATGGCAAGGGATATGCGAACCATCACGGGTAAGGCGCCTCGGCGGAGGTGGGAGCGCCTGAAGGAAGGAGCCCTGGGACACACGAGTAAATGCACACAAATACAAGGATTCCCAATAGTTTCGCATGTTTTCGGGGCTTTGTGTCTTCCCCCCCACTTCCCACATCTTCCCATATGTTCCTGGGAATCGACGATTACTCGTGTCTGTGTGTTCCCCATATTTCCCCATATTTCCCCATATTTCCCCATATTTTCTGGGTTTTCTGTCTTCCCCCCCACTTCCCATATCTTCCCATATGTTCCTGGGAATCGACGATTACTCGTGTCTGTGTGTTTCCTTTCCCTCCTGACTGAAGGGGGGGCGCGTCCCCAGACCACTCGGCCGCCTCCTGCGTCCTGGGGGGGGGGGGGGGGTGGCGGGGGGGGCGGGACGACGCACCGAGGGCCAGGGAGCAGGAGCAGGGCAACGGCTCGTCCACAGCTCCAAGACATCCCGAGGTGCAGCCCGTGGACGGCGACGGCGACGACGACGACGACGACCCGACGTGCCCCAGAACGCGCCCTGACAAACTCTCGAGGGACACACAGCCGCGGCCACGAGGGCGTCCAGGGAGGCTCAACAGCCTCCATTTTGGACCCCCGCCCCTCAATCGACGATCGACGATCGACAACGACAACGACGGAAAACGACGACGACGACGACGACGAGGGCGACGAAGGCGACGACGACGACGACGACGATGCCGACGAGCTCCGAGAACCTCCGGAAGCCTCCTAGAAGCTGCGAGGCCCTCTGATGACCTCCGAAAGACCCCGATGACCTCTAGAGACCTCCGAAGACAGGACATCACGAAAGTGACGACTGTTGCGCAGCCGGCATTCCCCAGGAACAGGAAATGTCAGTTTCGATCCCTTTAGCTCTGCACTCCGCTGGACCTCCCAGCAGCTGATGACAGTACTGGCGGCAGTGACGCAGTTCGCAGCCACCCAGGGAAGTGAGTTGTTATTTCTAGCTGCTTGCCCCCGCCATTCGCTAAACCTCCCAGGAATCGACGAAAGTGGCGGCTGGCATGCAATTCGCATCCCCCAGCAAGGGAAAGTCTCGCTTCAATCCCTTTAGCCCCGCACTCCGCTCGAACTCCCAGGAGCTGGCGCAGCTGACGACTGTTGCGCAGTTGACATCCACAAGGGAAGGGAGGTCTCGCTCCAACCCCTGGGGCCCCGCATTTCTCCCACCTCCCAGGAGCTCACGAATGTGGCGACACTTGCGCAATTGGCAACCGCCAGGGAGGGGAAGTCTAGTTTCAGCCCCTTTGGCCCCGCACTCCGCTGGACCCCCAGAGAGAGAAACTGACGCAAATGGCGACTGCCGTGCAGCTGGCATCGACCAAGAAGTTGGTGTCTCGTGTCGGCCCCTTCAGCCCCGCAGTTCTCGGGACTTCCCAGGAGCTCGCGAGTGTGGCGACGGTTGCGCAATCGGCAGTTCCCAGGAGGGGGAAAGCCTAGTTCCGATGCCGTGGACCCCCGCACTCCGCAAACAAGAACCCAGGGGCGACATGAAAGTGGCACCAGCTGCTCAGTTGACAGCCACCAGGGGTGCGAGGTGGGACGCAGCCAGGAGGCAGGTGAGGCAGGAGCTGTCCCAGAGGCAGGTCTTGAGGTGGGAGGTACAAGCACGGAAAAAGGGAGGAGCGGACGAGGGAGAAGGTAGCAGGAGAGACACAAGGAAAGGACATGAAGGGGGAGGAGAAGGGAGGCGGGAGGAAACGAGGAGACGGCGATCGAGCTAGATTCGAAGTGAGCATCCAACACGCAGGAGGGTTGAGACAAGCATACGCGGGAGTGGCGGGTGCGTAAAAGCATATCCTTGGGAGAGAGGGAGGGGAGATTCGCACTCTGCAGGGAGACGGGACAGGCAGAGAGGTAGGAAGGAGACGGTAGGAGGGATCGGTGAGGACAGGGGAGAAAGATCAGCCGCTGCTCCAATCAAAGCGAGGACCCAGCGCAGGGCTGTTGAAATAATAAGAATGGGTCACATGTGACTCAACATGTATAGCATTTCCCGCAATATCATTCCTCCCTCCACTCCACCGCGAGATGGCTTGATTCTAATCCAGGAGGTTCTGTGCATCCTTGAAGCGACCCTCACGAGATCGCAGATATGCACGAGAAGGCCAACACGGTCAACCCAACAGGCCCCGACGAATCCTCCTCTGTTGACACGCCTGGACGCACCCAAGGGCACCACAGGACTATGTGCTCCACTGGAATACACATGTGCGACTTTGCATTGTAAACTGCTGGCGGTTGCACAGCGTTCCCGAAAAAGCTTGGCGCGCGAGGGTCCAAAACCATGTTTCCCAAGCCAGCCGTGATCCCTTCCAGACCCAAGATTGGTGTCTCGTGGCCCATGGTCTCCCAAGTGGTCCCCCATTATGATCTCCAATGTGGTCTCCCGTGTGGTCTCCCGTATAGTCCCCCGTCTGATATCGCGTACGCTCTCCCGTATGGCCTGCCGTTTGTTTGAAACTATGCCGTGCAGGGTCTTCTTCCGTCGAGGCGGAATACTTTTGGTAGGGCGTCGCCGATCGATTTACGGCGGGAGCCTCGACACCAGAGGCATCTCCTGTAAAGCCTGCCCTGAGTCCGCTTTTGACGATCCGCTGCGACTGACGCAGCGACGGGGCGTTCCCCCCTGCGGGACTGCCCCCGCGACGCTCTCCAAGCGCAACGCCGCCGCTCCCAGCGGCCCCGGAGGCACACCGAGAACGAGAACGGCGCCAGTGCACCGGACCATGTTTGGACTCCCTTCGGATCCCGCTCCAGCGCGGTACGGTGCGTGGCGTTGAAACTGAGAGGCCACATGCGAACCCTACCCCTACCCCCCACGATTTCGGAGGGGGAGGGGTAGGGTTCGCATGTGGCCCCCTATACGCTCTGACGGCGGGGAAAGTATGCGCCGTACCGTGCCTGGGTCAAGGATGGATGACGCCTCGGGGGTCGCCAACGCGGTACGGTGCACACAGGCCGTGCGCCGATCAGAGCACCAGCGAAAACGACAAAAAGTTACACGCTTGGTTCTGGACACCACGAACCAGATCCAACGTGCACGAGCCGAGAGGCGCTGTGAAGTTTGCACGGCGGCCACAACATCACACGACAGCCAACCACGGCAAGCGAGCTACGAGACTATCAGGGAGGCGATGCTCAGCATGGCCGCCACGCTCAGGAGCAGGGTGTAGCCCCACTTGGGGATCGGGCCGTACAGGTCGGGGCACGCGCGGTGCATCAGGAGTATCGGTATCACCATCATCATCAGCGTGCTGACCGTCGCGCCGAGGACCTGTATCACGGACGCCACGTTCCGCACCTTCACTGCCACCCAGCACTGGAGCAGGCAGCTGCAGACGGCAAAGGCCTTCCGCAGGAACTCGCGGAGTCTTGGCCGTGGCCTCCTGGCCTCGGGCGGCACGAGACGCGCCTCCGACAGCAGCGGCTCCAGCTTCGGCTGGGGCCCGGGACCGCCGGGGTCTGCCTCGCGCAGGGAGGGGGCGCACAGCTCGCACAGGTTCAGGAGCGAACGCACGGTTGGATTCAGGGAGGTCGGGATGGCTGCCGCAATCGTGATGGAAAGCATCAGCCTGCTCAGCGTGATCATGGGGTCGCTTCTGTCGTAGGCGGTGATTATGTTGTCCGGCGTGTTTCTGCCGAAGGACACATAGCCCCCCCAGGAGAGCATGATGTAGAGAACGAGCTGCACCACAACCACGCGCATGGTGATCTTGTCGATGCGCTTTTCCCCAGGTCTGGTCAGCTCCTGGGAAACAGGCACGACGTTGATGTGGCAGTTGTATGCGAAGATACACATGCTGAAGCATTTGCAGAAGATGCCCGGCGTCATATCGCCCGCCTGCAGCTCAATGCTGACGGATTCGATCTGGTGGTCGTGGACGTGCAGCCTCCAGCACATCTTGCCAAACACGACAACCGCGGTGTAGAGAATACCAGCCAGAGCGATAGGGGACACGTGGCGAAGAGCAGACAGCTCTTTCGGAAAGCAGAGGGGGATGATCAGCACCAGCGACCCGATCAAGCAATGCGTGCGAATATCCTGCGCGTGAAGGGGACCGTCTGCCTGACCAAACGCCCCAAAGAGGTACCCAAAGTAGAGCACAAGGTCGGGAATGAAGTCCCCCAGGAAAATGAAGTAGGCAATGCACGAGCCAGTCCCATAGCAGAACAGGCTGACGTCCAAGAAAATCCCGCTCATGGCGCCCAGGCACTTTGACAGGAGCCCGCTGAACGTGTACACCTGAAGCTTCACCGCGCTGCACATGAGGATGCGCATGCCAGCGAAGGCCACCAGGCCGCAGACGAACAGAAGGCCCGTGCCCACAGCGCAGCCCGTGAGCCGCAGCATGTAGGAGATGGTGAGGACGCCGCCCCCGAGCGCCGTCTGCACAAGGGTGAAGACGCTCTGCCGGATGCTTAGACAGCAATTCACGGAAGCTCTCGGTCGTCCCTATGGCGCGCAAGGAGCGCGCCCAAGAGTGCCCAAAGCGGGCGTGATGAATCCCCCTTGTGTGGCGCCGTTGGGCGCTCTTGGGCGCCATTTGGGAAGTATTTTGACTACCTACCAGACCACCCCAACCCAACCCGAAGACCCGAATTTCGGGTTTGGGGGGGTAGGGCTCCATATGTGTTTTTTCGATGTTCCCAGACCCCGCCCCCCCCCCATTAGAAATCGAGGGTAAATCTGAGCCTTCGGGTTGGGTTGGGGTGGTCTGGTGGGTGGTGATATTTGGCGCAAGAGAGCGCGAGTATGGCGCGGCGCGCGCGCTATTCAGCGCTGGGCGCTGCTCGCCGATATGCACACCATGCGAGACGAGCGGGAGCTCCCCGGACTTGCTATCTAAGGATGCCGCCCGCCGTCAGCGGGGAGAAGGCGCGCGCGTAGAGGGTCTTGGCAAGCTCGTCCAGCTGCTGGTCGTCCTCGGAAACGCGCCGGCTCATGCCCATCACGGAGATGGCGTCTACCTCGGTCCAGATCATGACTACCTACCAGACCACCCCAACCCAGATCATGACTACCTACCAGACAACCCCAACCCAACCCGAAGACCCGAATTTGACCCGAATTTCGGGCTTGGGGGGGGTAAGGGTTCCACATGTGTTTTTTCTGTATTCCCCGACCCCCCCCCCACTGGAAATCGAGGATAAATTTGGGCCTTCGGGTTGGGTTGGGGTGGCTTGGTGGGTGGTGAGATCATCCGCGACAGGAAATTGTCGGTAACGGATTTGGCTCGCGCCTGAATTCCGTCGCGCCTCGCGGGGGTCGAAGTTCGGCAACGAAGGGACGGCGCGTCGGGATCCGAGCGAGGGTTTCTGAGACGTCGACGGCTCGCTCGTGACCAGAGCTCGCGACCCGAAGCCGAATGTCGGCCGCGACCGGTTCGTCCAGAACGTAACCAGCAATTTCCGGTAACGGATGACCTGGGAGGGTGCCGCGAGTTTATGTCGGGCAGCCCGCTTCTCCTCCTCCTCTTCATCCTTCTCCTCCTCCTCCTCCTCCTCCTGCTGTTCCTCCTCATCCTCCTCTTCCTCGTCCTCCTCCTCCTCCTCCCCCTCCCCCTCCTCCTTCGCCTCCTCATGCAACCCCCTTGTCATTTTGAATAGCTCCTCCCTGTCGCACCCCGAAACACGTCGGCGGGGCGGGCCGGGCGTTTCGCCTGAGACTTCCTCTCCATTTGGGATCCTGAAGCTGGAAAACTGGGACGGGTTCACGGGGGGGGGGGGGGGGGGGGAAACGCGTGTTTTTCAGAATGTGGCTCTCACCTTAGCGACGCGCGCATTCGTCTCAAAAAGCTCGCAGGAGCTTCACGGAGGCGGGCCGTGTCCAGGCTCACGCGTTGGCTCCGCGCGCACTCGTCATACAATATTCCATGAGCTTCCCAGATGGACGGCGGTCAATTTCAAAATGTTGCTCCCGCCTCAGCGAATCCCGAATTCGTCAAAATTCACTGCAAGAGCTTCACGAATGGAGGGCGAGGGCATACTAGTTTCAAGAATTTGCGCGAGTTGTACGGATGGAGGGCGAAACGTTTTCAAAATGTGGCTCTCGTTGTAGCGCCGCGCACATTCGTTGTCAAACTTTGCAGGGTTTTCACGGATGGAGGGCGGGTCGTTGCCAAAATGTGGTCCTCGCCCCCGCGCCGCGCACATTCGACTTAGACGTTTGCAAGAGCTTCATGGATGGACGGCGAGTGGATTTCAACATGTGGTCTTCTCCCCAGCGCGGCGTACACTCGTTTTCAAAGATTGCAAGAACTTCCCAAGTACAGGGCGGGCCGTTGTCAAATGTGCACCTCTCGCCTAAGCGCCGCGCGCATTCGTCTCAAACGTTTCCTAAAGGTTCAACAACTCATGGTTGACGTCTCAGGAATTGTGCTCCGGCACGATTTGTCAGGGCGCAACAGTCACGTTGGTTCGCGGTGCTGAAATCCCAGGACTGGCTTTCTGGCACGATTCCAGATCATCAAGACACAACAATACCGTATATTCGCAACGTTGAAATCCGTTTTGGTGCGATTGGGGGTTCTCAGACAATGGTCTTCCGCCCGGACACTGCCCGCAGTGAAAACACAGTCTTGCAGGGACCTTGAAGAAGAAGCTTGAGGGAAGGTGTATTGTAACATCGTTGACGGGTCTCGCGCTCACTCTGATCATGTTCCTCCTCCTCCTCCTCCTCCTCCTCCTGCTCCTCCTCCCCTGCACTTTCCCACGCCAGGGCGACGGGCGGCGCGGTGCGGCGCCGAACGAGTTCAAGCGAAACACAGCAAGCTGCAGCGAGACCCTGGACAGGGCAAGATCGGGCAGGACCGTTCCTGGCTCCCGCGGAAGCCTGCGAGGCCAATTCTTCTCCTCCTCTTCCCTCGGGGATCTTCTGACCCGGGTCAATCCAGACCCGGGTCAGCAGGAAACCAAAAAACTGAAATGCAGGAAAGAAAAACTGCAGCGCAGGTCTTCGCAAACCCGGGTCAGCCAATAGGCGCGGCTGCTCCGCGGCCACGAGCGGGGTCTTTGCAGGATCATTCAGGATCCGGTACCCTGGCTGACCCCCGTTTGCACTGACCCCCGTCTCTTAGGCCCCGACTCCCCCTCCCCCTCCTCCTGCCCGGTCCCATCTCTGGCCAGGATCGGCAGGTGGCCGATCACGGATTCCACTGCGTGACTTCAGGCGATCGGAATCTTGTGGCTGGCCCAAAAGGGGGTCCAGCTGAAAAGGGGGTGGTGCAATAGATTTGGGGCAAATGTACTGCAAATGTACTGCGCCGAGAAATTGTATTGCATGGTATTGCCACGGATGTACTGTACCCGAACATCCGGCAATGTATCTGCGCCCCGGAATGTATTGCACGCCCCAAATCTACTGCAACCCGCAAGCTCATTGCACCAGATCTTCTGCACCTCCCCCTTGCAGCTGGACCCCCCTTTGGGTCAACCGAACTCGGCCAACGCTCATGGAGACGGCACCAGCGGCCGCAACACCGATCGGAGATGGGGCCGTGCCCGTCAATGCCACGACTCCGCGTCGGAGAGGGGCGCGCACCGCGGCACGCGGGCGCCATGGGAGGGGGAGCTCCCAGCACAGAAGCCGCACAACCTGGTGGTGGTATATGGGCGATTCCAGACACCCTGAGCCCCAAAACGTTTTCATCTCTTGGGGGGCAGACTTTTCACTTTCGCCGCCTTCCGCCGAGCTTCCGCCGGCGGAGGCGGCCCCGTTTTGTTTCCGCCAACCTTCCGCCCCTCTTCCGCCGCCTTCCGCCGAGGAAGAGATGACGCATCCCTCGATCCTCGAAGGCAAAGAAAGCCCTTGTTGGAACGCCTCATATGAAAACGGTTGGTCCTGTTATAACCATAGATCTAGTTTCCTGTGTAACACCAAAAATAATAACGTCACGAATTCCACTTATCCCAAGTGGCGCACGCATCGCGGCAACTTCAAACACGTCGAGCACCGTAAACATGCTTTTAACCAAACTTATATACACCACCAGGGCGTTCGTTTGGATGGGCTCCGTTCTGGCCTCGGGCGCGAGGGGGGGCGATCGTCATTGGCGACGGGGCTGCAAGCTGCAACAGCGGGTCCCTCAAAAGAGCGAAACTGCTCCAAAACGGATGGTCCGCTTTTCCCGATCTTGGTGGTGGTGATCATTCACCGTGCTTGGAAGATCGGCTTCAGAGGCGGCGGGGGGGTCTGAGCCGGATGGGCCAGAGAAAATCTGTCAAGAGCGCGGACAAGGGCCATTTTACCCTTCAAAAGAAACATGTCAAGAGTCCGTCTAGTGCAGAATTTTGCCCTGGACCATTTTCTCGCGGCTTTGGGGCCGGACAACGGCCCCCGAAGGCCTAAAAAGGACAAGAAACCCTTCCCGAACCAAGAACCTCGGACCTCGAACCTCGCCGCCCTCCCCCCTTCTTGCTCGCCGGTGCCAGCGCTGGGCCACCCGGGAGTCCCCAGTCGGCTCCAAGATCGCCCTTTTCTCCCGATCTTGGTGGGTGGCGGTCCTGCGCCGTGCCTGGAACCCAGACCCACGACGTCGGGATGTTTTCACAGCGTCGACCCCCAGAGGTCTGGACCCCTTCCCCCGGACCGGCATTCCATCCTGAGTCGTTCTCTGACGGTCCCGGGGCCCGGTAAGGGCCCCCGGGGGCCGACAGTGGGAAAAACCTCCCGTGGCGATGCTTGCCACAGCGCGCGGGCGTCTTCCTTGAGACCCTGGCGTCTCCATTCTTCATTCTTCGAGCCGGCGTTTTCGCCTTCTTTCGAGCCCCGGGTGCCTCACAGATCGATCCAGCTCGAAAAATGAGGCAGAAAGCTGGTGTCCAAAGCTCTGGGCGTGACTTTCTACGACGCAACGATTTGTTTCGCTAGTAGCGAAACAAATTGTGGGAAGATCGGCCATAGGGCGCCGGCGTCCTCGGAGTAGCCGCGCCCTCTCCCGCTCGCTGTCGAGCCCGGCGACGGGAGCGGCGACGGCATCGGAGGCATTGGCCGGGGGGAACGAAACAGGGGGGGATATAGCAAGGAGCAGGGCAGAGAATCAGCTCACGCACTTTGCTGACTTTCCCAGCGCCTCCCGGCGCCTCTCGAGGAAGGGGCCCGGCGGCGGGGCCGAGACCGGCTGCATGCAGCAGATCTCGTAAAACCCCCCCTTGCCCGACCCCCCTCTTCCGCTCGGCCCGAATCGGGGGCTCCCGCGCCGTGCGGCGGGCCCCGCGGCGCGGCTGTGGAGCTCCTTCGGCGCCGGCGCCGGGGGAGGGCCGGGCTCGGAGCGGCTGGCGCTTCGGGCCCTCGAGTCCCAACAGCTTGCCCGAGAGAAAGGCTCGGAGCGGACGAGAGGGTCGAGCGAGCAG